CAATCTTACTGAAGATGAGATAAAACCGTTTCATCTACGTACACTGTTCTGCTGGATATGGAGGGTCAAGTGATGCCTAGATATTATTATCATATCATCATTAATATTGATGGAGTACCAAGTCCCATGCAGCAGGAATGTCACAAAGCATTTTCTAACATCTTGTCCTCATGTTCCTATCATAATGTTGTTTGAGAGCATAGACTTTAGAGTCAGATAGTCTGGATTCAAATATCAGACTTGTCACTTACTAGCTGTATAACTTTGTGAGCAAGTCTCTTAACTTTTCTGAGCCTCTGTCTCTTCATTTGTAAAATGGGGATTATAATAGTTCCTACCTCAAAGGAGTTCTCTGAGAATTAAATAAGATCATAAATATAGATCACTTAACACAGTACCTGGCTCACTAAATAACTTTTTCTTCTCTTTTCCCATCAAGCACCCTCTTCTTTCCATCTTCTTTCTTTTCTTTCCAAGCTCATTCCATTCCTTGTGGCCTTTAAAAATCTATCTGGTAGGGTTGGTAGGAATGTAAATTGGAATAACACTTTGGGAAACTGACAACATCTACTAAGCTAAACACGGTATACCCTGAGATCCAGAAAGTCCACTCTAGGTCTATACCTAACAGAAGTACATACAGAAGACATGTTACAGGAAAATTCCTAGCTGCACTGTTCAAAATCCCCCAATCTGGAAACAGCCCAAATGTCCACCAGTAAAACGATAAATAAATTGTGGTATATTCATAAATTGGAATACTATATAGAATCATGTTAGATAAACTATGGATCTATGTTATAATATCGTTGGATCTCCAAAACAAAATGTTGAGCCAAAAGAAGTCATACATAAAAGTGTACATCCCATAATATTCCATTTATAAAAAGTTCAAAAACTAGCAAAACTAATTTATGATGTTAAAATTCAAGATAGTGGTTAACCCTGAGGAGCATAAGGAGTGGTCTTCTGGGATTCTGGTGGTGTTGTTTCTTGAACTTGGCGCTATGTGCATGAGAGTGTTATATTTGTGAAAATTCATCAAGCTGAATGCCTATGATTTGTACACTTAATACTTAAGACAAGCTCTATGGTATGCTACAGCCAATGTAAAAGAAATCATGAAATTTAAAAGATTCCCTTTTCTTGTTTAGAAAGCACCAGTAGGAAATCATGCATCAGGAGCTATCATTTTCTCTCAAAGTTCTCTGGCGTGTTATCCTTTAGGATTCTGCAGGAAAGCAGTGTGTGTTTTTTCTCTATCTACTCACAGTTGACGTAGCAAGAGAATCATTACTTCCTTGGCTAGCAGCAAGGGAATCTATGTGATTGTCTTTCCTAAATAAGTCTTACTTCCTAGGATTGAAGGAAGCTTAAAGAAACAATTTATTAACGTTTTGACTATGGATGGAGTCTGATTTTTTAATAAGGTGGTTAATGCCTGAAACTATAAACTTTAAAGGGAAAATTCATATACACACATTTACTATGACAAGATTTTTTTAAATATGTATTTCTTTTTCCTGTAGATATACTAGCGGGATTTCTTCTCTTAGACTTTTAGCAGGTGGAGTTTAATAGAGTTCTTCCAGGAGAGGACTAGGAAACAGCATGGTTGCTCAATAAGGCATTGGTTTTGTGAGATTGGTCAAATACCGTCTCATTTGTGCAAATTCTTCACATCCAAATAGCTGGAAGAAAGCTTTAGGTAATGAGTCTCCTTGATTTTTAGTGAACTAAAAACAAGATTGAAGGGACTTCCATGGATAAAGACATAAATTTAATCTTAGTAAGAAGGGAAGAGAATGTGGGATATAACTATTGGATCAGTTTTTATTTTAACATTTTTCCTGGACAAAATCACAGTTATGAGCTGTGTTTTAGTTGCTGGTGACTTATTACTAAATAAATCTTTAAATTGCTGTCAATGCCTTTTTTTTTAAGCTAAGCAGATTCATGGCTGTGGTATGTTTGTATCCTTAAGAGATGGCCCATAGTTAAAAGTCTAGCATTGCACAATTGGGTGCATGGAGGTCATAAATCATAATTTTGAGGCATTTTTGCACAACTAAAGTAGAATGTACTATGTTTAATTCCCAAGTTAACAATTACTTTACTATTGCCTATCAGACCATGGCTTAGGCCTGGATTTCAAGGCACATGAATGGCCACACTTTCTCTCTCCAACATCATTTCTTATTACCCCAACGATTAGCAGAGTCTCCTCATGTTCTCCCACACCATGCTCATTCACATCCCCGTGACTGAGTTTGTGTAGTTCCCTCTCTCTTGTGCTCAATTTCAATACTTCTTTCAAGTCTCAAATCAATAAAAAATCAAAACCACAATTTGTTCATCAGTTATGAAGTCAGACCCCAAAGATGAGAAAACACGCTCCTGGTATCTTATGATCTCTTGGGGAGGTATTCTAGACCAGTTGTCCTTTCCCTTTTTTGACCATAAAGTGATTAAATGGTCTTTCTAGGTCAAATTTTTTAATAAGCATTTACTGATTGCCTGCTCTGTGTCAGGTTTTGTGCTAGGTGTTTGGAATACAGGAATAATTAAGACAGTTTCCCTGCCCTCAGAGAACTCGCAGTCTAGAAGACTGTGAGCAAATAATTTCACACAATGTAAAATGAGTACAGGGTACCATTGGACTACAGAGAAGACTCATTTAAACCCAGTCTGCGGTACTAGAGGCACAATCATTGTGGAAAGACCTGGAGGAGATGACACCTAAGCAGAGTCTTAAAGGATGAGTAGTAGTTAGCCAAATGAGAAGGGTTGGAATTTCCAGAAGAAGAAATAGCATGAGCAAAGGCAGAGAGGTGAGAAACAACGTGTATGAGCATGCACGGGAAAGGACACACAGCTTAAGAGTTTGACGCAGAGAATAGCAAGGGATGATACTAAAGGAGTAGGCAGGAGCCGTGTCATAAAAAGCCATACATGGCAATAAGAATAATATCCCAAAACAAACAATACATTCTCTAAAATATCTTCTATCTTAAATTTTATGCCTTTGGTGCTCTAAACTCTCAAAGTTGTTAGAAGATTCTCTAAGGGGCAGGGAAAATTGCTGGTTGTTTCCTCTGCGTACCACTTACGGCTGGCTTGCTGTCCCCAGCATCTATCTCTTCCTAAGATTCCAATTCTCTTTCTATTCCAACAGTTACCTCTGTTTGCAGTGCCCCTTGCAAACTGGACTTTGATAGTTTGGTGAATACTATTCATTTGCTTTCAGCTCATCCTTTGATAAAGAGGTTTATAAGTCCCTCTTCCTCTCCTCTCTTTTATGTCTGAGACAGGCTAATCACTCCTTCATTTTAGCCCTTAGGGCATACCAGAAGTATATATAGGTGGTCCTCAACTTACGATTGTTTGACTTAAGATTTTTCCACTTTATCATGGTGTGAAAGTGATACGCATTCGGTAGAAACTGTACTTCGCATTCTGAATTTTGCTCTTTTCCTGGGCTAGTGATATGCATACGATCCTCTCTTGTGATGCTGGGCAGCGGCAGTGAGCACAGCTCCTGTCAGCCACGTGGTCAAGAGGGTAAACTACCGATAGATACCCTGACAGCCATTCTGGACCCAGACAGCCCTTCTGTTTTTCGCTTTTAGTACAGTACTCAATAATCCATGAGATAGTCAACACTTTATTATAAAATAGGCTTTCTGCTGGGTGATTTTGTCCAACTGTAGACTAACTGCAAGTGTTCTGAGCACATTTAAGGTAGGCTAGGCTAAGCTATGGCGTTTGGTAGGTTAGGTGTATTAAATGCATTTTTCGGAATGTTTGGGGGATATTTTCAGCTCACAATGGGTTTAGCGGGACCTAACTCCATCCTAAGTTGAGAAAGATCTGTAATACTAATAGGCGCACACACATACACACACACGCGTACACACCACCAGCCTGTGCTATGTTCAAAACGAAGTTAGATGAAGCTTATTGATGCTTTCTCCTTTCTACCTTCTCAGTAACCTCATGGACTTTCCTCTGCCTTACCTGCCCAGATTCCCCAGGGCATACTGCTGTTGCGAATGGAAAGTTTATGTCGGTCAATGGAGAACAAAAGAGCAGCACATAGGGTACAGAATTTGGCTCTCTGCCAGCTCCTCTGTATGCGCTGATTTGTACTGTGTTTCCTAGAACAACCACCATCTTTCACCTGGTCACATTGAGTTTAAATCCTTTGAGTTTTCTGATGAAGATGTGCTCCATTGGTAAGCAGCATTATAATCATGCTTTCCTCTCTGGCCAAGCTGGGATGCTTCCCCATAGTTCACTTTCTAGGCCTCACCTTTCTTGCAAAGTGGAGTCCTTTGTTAGGGTTAGAATTTCCCATAAACCTGCTTAATAATTTGTTTTTGTCTGGCTTCTTTGAAATACTACACAAAGCAATCCCTGTAAAAGGCAGTGCTGTCCTGAAGGCTGAGAAAGGTGCCTGAGACTTAGGCTCAAAGTTACTCTTTTCAGGCAGAGCCAGCTGAGTAATCTTATCTCAGCTGGCTGCTTTTCAAGGTGCCCAATTCTGGAGCTTTCCCTCTGGCAGCAGCGTTTGCCCCAGGGGATCAAGTGCTTTCTAGTGAGGGTCAAAACTTCTGGAAATCCCAGGGCCCAGGACGGCACGATCTGTTCAGGAGAATCTTGGGGAACAGAATGGGCCCCACAGACCGTGCCCTTCCCCTCTCCAGCACCAGTGGAGATCAGCACTTGGCCCCAGGACAGAGACCAGACTCAGAGAGGAGGTTAGGAGGAAGCAGGGAACCCAGGAAAGGAGGTGAGATTGCGAAGGCACCTGCATGGCTCTGAGTCAAAGGCTGTCAGTCATTCTCGGCTCAGGCTGCTCCGCTCTCTCACAGCCCAGCCCTTTCCCGGGGCAGGTGATTGCTACATGCCAGCTTACCTGGGGAAAAACCAGAGCCTCACTTTGGTCTCTTCCGGTAATTGACACGACAGGGCGCCTGTCAGGGGGAGGGGAGAGCTTCCCTCCATAAATGGTCCCACCCCGGGCAAGGTGGCTCACTCTGGCAGGTAGCAACGGGGAGAGTGCACCTGCCACCAGTCAAGCTCAGCCAGACTGCGAGACAAGGCGGAGCAAGCAGAGTGAGTGAGTGAACCATGGACAAGTTGAAGTGCCCGAGCTTCTTCAATTGGAGAAGGAAGGAGGTAGGAGTCTGGGAGCTGTGGGTGGTGTGGAGGGACTGGGGAGGGAAAACTTAAGGGGAGACAAGTGTCAATTTTTCTTTTCAGCGGCTGTTCTTTGTTCTTCACATTTCTGTTGAGCTGCCTTCAAGTGTGCCTGAGATGTCCCTTTAGAGTAGAGAAAAAGTAGAACAGCTCTTACTCGGGAGCTAGAAGACTTAGGGTCACCTCACCCTCTGTCTTGAGTGTGGCCACAAAATTTTGTTTTCCGTCCCCTTCCAGACCGTCCGTATGCTGGAGGGAAATGCAAAAATGCACTGTCCTTATCTGACCTGAAGAACCCCTCTGTAGCCCAGCTGCAGAGCAGCTAACAGGTTGGGAGAGAACCCTCCCCTCTGAATCGGAGGGAGAGCTGCTCCACCTGGTGGGACAGGAGAATTTGTCTCTGAATATTACCCTGTGGCTTTTAGAAAAGCACTGATTTTACTCTCCAAAATAGGGAGAGAAGATAACCATCCCTTAAATGCAAACAGCCAAGCCTATAGGAAAAGGAGCCTATGAATTCTACCTTTTTTTTAGAAGAAGCTATATTTGATTCTCTTCTCAAGGATCTCCTACAATCTCGAGAGTGTTGATTTTACCTAATTCATATTTAAGACTTATTTGTCCACTTTCATTTGGCCTTCACGCTGGGTGCGGCATGTAACCTTTCCACCAAAATTTGGATAATCTGCTGAAGTAGTAAAAATATCCACTCACAGAGCTTTCTTCAATTCAAGGAGTAAATGTTGCAAAGTAAAAGCAGCCATTAGCAGAAATCTTCCCAGCCTTGGAAAATGCTCCCCTTGGCTACAGTTTTCAGGGTTCATTCTCTCTCTCTCTGTCTCTCTCACTGTCACTCTATGGATTTGTGAAATTATGCTTCTGTGGAACTTTTAATAGTAGAGAGACAAGCTGTCAATATTTTTTCCTTCTCCAGAAAGTGACGGCTTCATCTGAGAATTTCCATGTTGGTGAAAATGATGAGAATCAGGACCGTGGTAACTGGTCCAAAAAATCAGATTATCTTCTGTCTATGGTTGGATACGCAGTGGGCCTGGGAAACGTGTGGAGATTCCCATATTTGACCTACACCAATGGAGGAGGTATTTCCCCACATACATGCTTTTTTCCCCTCCAGTTTTAAGTGGGGTGCTGTATGGACTCCGAGAATATTTTAAGAACTGAGGAAAGGTATATGATAGTTTGGGTTAGTGGGACGATGGGAAATAAGCTTACTGCATTTATTAGTAGATTATAAGTTGCTAGCTCAAGTTAGGAAGCTGGCTTCACAAAATGCTCAGATATAAACTTCATAAAAGTTGTATATTTAACACTTCTGAGCTTCTGATTTGAGAGCCCATGTAATCTTCCACTACGATGTACTCTTAATTTATACGTGTTCCTCTGAAAATCTGTTCAGACTCAAGTTGTATTTTGCTTATTTGATAGCTGAAGCTAAGCAAAAGGCAGGAAATTCTAGTTCTAATAAGAAGCTCAAATAAATTGTTTGCCTAAATAGAATAAGGCAGTACATTTTTGAAATTTAAGTGCGGAAGGACTTGATTAAAGAGTAATTAAACGTTTAGGATTTTGAGCTGCAATATTCAGTTACACGTATTCCAAATTGGATTGACCATGTCAACATCTAGATCCTTCTAAAATGCAACCGAGTTTAGTTCAAGGCTTAGTGTTTAATTTCTGCAAAATAATACTGTTTATACCTCATAGATCGTTAAGGGAGACTCGAATAGAGCAAGGAGAAAAAAATAACTCTGAGATGACACACAAAGGGAAACAAAATGCATTGCACAATTCTCTAGTAATGTCGAAACAACTTTTCACTTACACCATATTTTATTTACTTGAAATTACAGATTCCATTAGAAGTGTGGAGATGACATGCCCTTACATTTCATAATTGGGTGCCAGTGAAACTGTGCCACTCTAATTATTTTTCTTGATACAATAGGATTTTATGTGGTGATATTTCAATCTTATATTCCTTGTTAATTGGTTGCATTACAACATTCATCCCGGCCTTCAGAGACTTAAGAAAGGAGCTCTGTTTATCAAATACTTTAAGTGTCGGTGGTGTGAATTTCCCTCTCTAAAGCCTATATCATTTAGTCACACGTTTGGTAAAAGTTTGAGCTGGAAAATGAGTCAAGAATCACAATCTGTTTGGTGTCTATGTCCTCAGGTCCAGTGTAGTGAAGCGGAGCATTCAGGCTCCCCTCCAGCCTCTTGTGTTCAGGTCTAGAACAAGAAATTCCATGTGACTTGATGTTATTCACAGGCCCAGTAGTTGCCATAGGTTTCCAGGAACTACATTAAACTCGGTTTAACAGAGAATTTTTAAATATAACTGAAACAAAATAGTATTATTTATTGTATACTGTCTCTTTCACCATTTCCTCAAAAAATTTATGTTATATCAGCTCTCAGTTTTTAAAGATCACATCATTTGTAATGGATGATCTAGGCTCTCTCAATTGCTTCTTTTTCTTTTGCTCAAGGGTAGAAGAGGAACATGAAATTCAAATTTGTCAGATGTTAGATCAGATTTTAAAATATGGTCAGATTTGAAAAATTATTGCTAAAATCTGGAACCGTTTTTATCTACAGACTCTTTTTAACAGTTTATGAAAGAGAAGTGTCACATTGAGGTCCTGTGTAGACATAGCAACAATTTGGGACCACCGTATTGTATTAACAACTTACCAATTACGGCTGTTATTAATAATGAAATTATATAAGGGGTAAAAAGCCCTATATAACAATGAGGAAAATAATTTTTTTCAGAAAATCTATTCACACTGGGCTAGTAAAACTTTGCTTATTGTTGTACTTAAGTAGGGATATTTTGTATTACTTTTTCTTCATATTTATCATTGGTAGACCTTAAACTTCTATTAGTCATAGTAATTATGGTATGTACATTGCAACATCTATAAAAGCATATTTGTCCTTATGTTCCAGTGACTAGTGACTTGTACACAACAAGTACTTTGTTGTCTCACTATTTTTAGTAGACAATATTTTGAGGGTTGTAAAAAATGTAATTCCAAGATATGATGTTCCAGTACCATAATACGAAAAATACATGAGGAAAAAATGTAATATGCCCATTTTTATCCACCGATCCCCACATTTTCTTATTAAACTTTGCTAAGACTTCTAGAATACTTGATCAATAAATTCAGTATTCTGTCCCTTCTTCTACCTACAATCTGGTGAAGGTTCTAATGAGCAATATTATGCCCCAAAACTGGGCAGGAAAAACGTAAAATAATAAAAGTTAAGAAAAAAACAACAAAAAGAGGCCTGGATAATCCAAATGTAGGAGAATTAGTTCCTATGACATTGAAAGTTAACTCTGGATGTATCTCAAAAGTTCAGATACTTTTAACAAAAACAATAGATTTCTTATTGAGTGAAGATCCTTATGACTATTTGGAGAATAATAAACTTAACTGCAATAACTGTCATTCTAAACCACATTTAGTATTTTCAACCTAAGTCTTAAAAGTAGACCATTCAATTTTAAAGGAGAAAGGAGGGAAATTAACTTTGAGCATACTATGTGCCTGCCATTTTGCCAAGTGTCTTCACATAGGCTCTATAATTGAAAATGTACCACAAACTGAGGAGTTGGTATTGTTCTCCCCACTTATGAGGAGCCCAAGGTTCAGAAATTGGGTAAATTGTCGCAGGTCACATAACTAGTAAATGGTGGAGTCAGAATATAAACCTAGGTCTACCTGGCTCCAAAGCCTGTGATCATTCAACTCTGGATTGCTTTTTATAGGCTATTGTTTTTAATAATCACAATAACCTCGTTAGGTAATACTAGCATCCCCTTTTCATAGATGAGGAATCCAAGGTTTAGAGAATCAACCACTTTCCCACAGAAAGTAGTAAATTTGGGGCCTGAACCCAGTACTCTCTGACGCCACTATACTATATTAGAACGCTTTCAAAACGTTATGCTGGTTGTCAAAGTGCCGTCAAGATTTTGGGATATAATAGTGCTTTGATCCTTTTTTTTCATTTTCTAGGTGCCTTCTTGATACCTTATGCGATTATGCTAGCATTGGCTGGTTTACCCTTGTTCTTCCTAGAGTGTTCACTGGGACAATTTGCTAGCTTAGGTCCAGTTTCAATTTGGAGGATTCTTCCATTGTTTCAAGGTTGGTATTAAAATGTTTTCCTTATTGTGTGAATTCTTCTATTCATGCATATAGCTGTCCTCACTACGTGGAAGAAAAATGTTTAAAATTTGGATATGTTAAAGGCAAAGAAGCATATATTGTTTTTCTGAATATTTGCCACTGTAGAATTTAAACATCAAATGTTAATTTTTATTTCTGTTTATCTTGGGCTGCAGATATGGAAGGGTTTAGGAAAGATATTAAAGAGAGTTGTAAGGCTGTCATTGTTCTCCTGTTTTCATCTTTTAAATTCTCTTGGCACATAGTCCTGTTGTGCATTAACTTCATGGCCCTGGCTTTTTTCTACTTCATATGCAGTCTTTGTCCTCTTGCTTTTGCATATCTTTTACCATGCCTCATTCAGAAAGGTTGAAGGGCAGGTCATTATTTTTTCTTGGATGCTCCTAATAGACTAGGACACTGGTAAAGTTTTAAAAAATGCCTTGATTGTTATTAAACATCAAACAGGCTTTCTGTCTGAAGATTAAATATCATTTTGGTATGTGTTAGCTGCTGAAAACTATTTGCAAAAGCCTCAATGCAACATCAAAAATAAATTTATAGTGAAGTGAATAGACTATTGTGCTGGAATATTAAGGAAGCTACGTCAAAAGCTAGTCTTAAGCATAGGAGTTATATTTAGTACGCTAAACTTCACTTTGAAACTACTAACTTAAACTTAGGAAGTTTAAATTCAGATTGTTACTGAATTATTGAATTTTCTTTACATGTACTTGTAGAAATGTTGTACACTATACTTTCAGGACATTAATTCAGAGGCTTAAACTTCTACTTGTCAAAATGTTGGTTTACAGATGAAGATGTGAGTATTGGTCAGTGAGTCAATAGGATATGAGCTTTGAATAGTTTTTTTTTTTTTTTTTTTTTTTTTTTAAGAATAGTACCCACTCTGACAAGAATTTACAGACAATAAGAAAGAGTACGGACATGGGTTTTCCCTTACGTGAATTTCATGGATGAATATAGGTCTTCTGTTCTTGATCTTAGTACCTTTTTCTAACTAAACAACTGTCTCAGAAAGCCAATCTTCAAAATAATTTTAAATTTGAGAAGAAAGCTACTCAGACAGCAGTCCCGCCTCCTCCCCCCCAGAAAAAGGAAAAAGTTGTTGGAAACGGCCTTCTCATTTTAAAATAGATTTTGTGGAAATTGAGATGTAGCTTTTTTATGAATTAGCAAAAGAAATTTCACTTGTTTTTTTATGTCAATTGTTCTCTTTTCCAGGTGTGGGAATTACAATGGTCCTGATATCCATTTTTGTGACAATCTATTACAATGTCATAATTGCCTATAGTCTTTACTACATGTTTGCTTCTTTCCAAAGTGAACTACCGTGGAAAAATTGCTCCTATTGGGCGGATGCAAACTGTAGCAGATCGCCTATAGGTAAAATTCATTTATTTATTTAAAAAATATTATTAACTCTACATCATCCTTTTATATTTTCTAATAAGCTTAAAGGGTTAAATCATTTTCTAACCAATTTAGGTGCACTTTAAGTGAGCCATAGGTTATTGAAGAAAGCAAAATAAAGCATGTATAACCTGAAAATTGTTGAATGCAATTAATTTCTGAGGGCAGCCAGTAAGGCTAAACCAGAACTAGGAGTACTTCTTGCAGGTCTAAGTCATGGCAGGAGGGAATGAAGAAAATAGGAAAGTGATAAAGAGAGAAAAGCACTATGCATGATAGCAGTAGTGTGTTTCAGGAGACAGCGGGTGTTGTCTGTGCCACATGTTGCTAATCTTTGGGATAATGTAGCATCAATATTGGAGACTACTACCACTGGGATTGCCTATGTAGATCACAGGATAAAGTGATAAAGATTTAATGCTTCTTAGGAATACAAAGGTGCCATTTATCTATATAGGTTAAATCAGTCCACATACTAAAAGTTCTTCAGAGCGCTAAACCCCAACTGAAATGATTGCTACTCTATAGCTGTTGTTCCTATAAATATAATCACAGTTTCAAAGGGCAGAGATTTTCATATTCTCCTCCAGCTTAGTAGTAGAGAAGACTTAAGATGCTGAATGTCCATGGCTTATTCTATTTGTACGATTTCTGCTTCACCTTCACCAAGTGACAATTTAGACAGTACTTTAAGTATTTTACCACTAAAGCTTTTTTCCAGGAAAATACTCCTCTAAAAATAACTACATGTTTGTGTGTGTTCTTTTTTATAATTTTTAGTAACTCACTGTAACGTAAGTATAAAACTAGGAGAGATCATCCAAATGAACAAAACCTGGGTAGACACCAACAATTTTACCTGCGTCAATGGAAGTGAAGTTTATCAGCCAGGGCAGCTTCCCAGTGAACAATATTGGAAGTAAGTACTCTAGAGGGTCTACTTCTTGAGCAGATGTTATTAAGAAGTTTTTATAAACAACAATATAATATTGATCAACTCTTTTTTTAACTCGCATAAGTAGAAAAAAAGGGGGATCAGAGCAAATTATATTTCATTTGACTCAAATGTTTACCGATCCTGTGTGAATAGTAGCAGGTAACCTGTAAAATTACTCATAGTCAACCAATTGTTGTTTATAAATTAGTTATTAAATGGGCACAACACTCTCAGTAATGATTTATTTAGTGCTTATTAACTATACATTGAGGTATTGCTTTGAAGAAAAAATATTCAAGATTTAGACTATAATGAGCAAGTTCTAATGATAAACAGTTGGGTGATGAGCAATATTTGGGACAAAATTGCTATTTAACACTGCAATTCCTTATTCATTTTACTTATAATTGTCATTATATGTTAAAAGTAGATAATTTGGATTATATTTACTTTTAGTAATTTTAAGTGATCTCTCTTTACTCTCCTTACTGTATACCTATCCTTTACCCTTACCTAACTTCCTTGTCTTTTGCTGTAATGAGTTCTTCCTCATTTACATATTCATGTTCTGGGTGACCCTTTTAAAATTCGGATCTTGAAATGTTCCCAAACATCAAGCTAAGAACTAAAATCCTAGATCTATGCATGTCTTTAGTGAATATCATGAAATTTTACAGAAAGCCTTTGAAAAAGGTATAAATAATGGGACCACTTAAGTTTGATGGTAACTACGAGTATGATAAATAAGAAAATACTTAATACAATTTTAAATGTTTTCTCCATCGTTGTAACTTGAGAAAAAATACTGTACTGAGTAAAATGAAATAATCTGATGTAAGGTTAATTTCTTTACATAAAAAAGCTTTGAAATATTAGGGAAAGGTCATAGCTAAAGGAATCAGTACATCTTTTATTGTAGGGTTTGGAATTTTGAATTGGCTGCAGTTAACCCTAAACTTCAGAGCCTGGCTTTTCACTGAACTATCAGTAGTATCAATAAAAGGCTCACATGACGTTGATGTTTTAATAAGATAAAATACTCATGCAGCTTGCCCCGGGATGAAAGATATTACAAAATTCAATGTATTAAGTGACTCTGTGTTCATCAAAGGTCTTATGTGTTTTCAGTAAAGTGGCACTCCAACGGTCAAGTGGAATGGATGAAACTGGGGTAATTGTGTGGTATTTAGCACTTTGTCTTCTTCTGGCTTGGCTCATAGTTGGAGCAGCGCTATTCAAAGGAATCAAGTCTTCTGGCAAGGTAATTTGAAAATCACGTTAGATAGTGATGTAGCTGTTTTCTAACTTCATTGTAGTTCAATGTCAAGCGTTTATCAAATGCATACTTTTTCTATAATGGGAAGATTCAAATGTGTGAAAACCTTTCTAAGTTGGCAGCCTAGCTCTAAGAACCACTCTAAGATCACATAAGATCACTCTATTGTTAAAAATAGAACAAAACAAGCAAAAACTAGTCCCAGAGTTGTACAATTACTCAAAACTTGGACCCTTCTAGGTGATACAGCATTTTAAAACTGGAGGACAAATTTTTAATTTTTTTTATCTTACTCTATAAATAAGCGTCTCAAATGGAACTACATATTGCAATGTTTGGTTTGGAAAGTCTGGATCTTTGTTATATAGGGTAATAGTGTCAGGATTCCCTCAGTTGGAGAGAGAGAAAAAAATAAACTATGCAATCGTTCCCTTAAAGCTTGCCAAAATTGACTCAGAGCCCTCTCTCTCAGCTAAGAGTCCTCTTCTGAAAAACATATTTTCCCACTTCATTGTTTTATTTTTTAAACATTCAGAGAGCATCATGGAAATTTCAGAGAAAAACATGAAATTTTTTCTGGGAGCAGCTGAACAGTACTCAGAAAAGTGAATGTTTATGTGTTTGTAACTACTAGACTGACATTTCTCAAAGATGGAGGACAGGAATAGCTGTGGATACTGTCTTCGTATTCCTGGTACAATATCTAGCACACTCAGTTAATGTTAAATTGTAATGAGACACGCTGTTAGATCACAAAAATACTGTGAACGTCACAAAGGGAGTAGAAACTTTCCAAAATACTGTTTCACTTGCACATTTTGGAAACCCTTGGTTCCTTTTTGACGTTAATATTGAAAGGATCCATTAAAGGCCATTTGCCCAGGCAATTAATTTTTATTGGTCTCTGGATGACTTGTTTAAATCGTCTCCTTGGGCATATTATCAAACTTAGGACATCTACGGATCAAAGAAATCATCCACATTAATGAAAAGCCAGCCTCAAAGGCAGCCTACTCATCTGGAACCACGGGTTATCTAGGACACAAGCAGTCCACGTGTATGTGTGCTATCAAACTCCCTTAACGGTTGCTTGAAGGGTAATAATAGCAAGTGTCCGGTATCCACTTTAACCAACTTTCCTGGGATTTGACATCTACCAGGAGATTATTTTCCTTCTCTTTGGGGACTGAGTATATACTTACCATTGCAGGGTTTAAAATCATTTCACTTTCCACTTCAGTGCAGTAATTTACCAACAGGTGCTCTTCAGTCCCCTCAGATATTTATAAGGATACATTTAGGAAAGCACTTCATCTAGATTCCAAGTTAGCACTGTGGACGTATGGTGTATTTACAACACGAAGACCTGGGCAATGTCGCTTCATACAGCGGTGTGTTGTGAAAATGGATCATTTGAGAGGGGTGAGAACAGAAAGAGGAAATGACGGCAACTTTGGTATTGGTATCGTCAGACTTATTAATAACCTTATGAAATCTATAGTACTTTATTTTACTAATCTCAACTGGCTAATAACTTTGTATACAATCATATAGTATGATTTAAAAAAAATACATTAACTTTCGGTTGTTTTTCTTGGTAGGTGGTATATTTTACAGCTATTTTCCCCTATGTTGTTCTACTCATCCTGTTAATACGAGGCGCAACTCTGGAGGGTGCATCAAAAGGCATTTCATACTACATAGGAGCACAGTCAAATTTTACAAAACTTAGGGAAGCTGAGGTAAGACTTAATTTAGATTTCAAATTATCTGAGGAGAGAAACCTCAAAAGCAAGTACAGACGATTTTTGGTTGCATTTAAGAGTGTCATAATGTAGTACCTTGAAAAAGAATATGCAGCTAAATGTATTAGTGTAGTTCTGTCCACTAGGATGTCTGATTTAGCTATTTAGCGTGACACTAATGCACTCTTGTTGGAAGTGAGATAATCATTTTTAGCAATTGTATTTTCAAAGTCATTTTATTCACATAACTGATTCTATTTGACCAAAATGATTTGGGGCTTATTAATGTGAAAAAGCATATTTCATGCATGAATACCTGCAAATTGATGACTAGGACTATGTGACTTATTGGATAAACTCATAGCAGATTTAAAGATTACAGTTGAAAGTTTAATGGTCTAATATATATTCTAATTGTCTTCAAAAGTTAATATCCCAAAAGTAAGATCAACTTTTGCCTAATGGAGTACGAATTTAAAACCCAAATTTGAAATGGATAAAGTACTCCATAAATAAAACTGTTACTTGTACCAGAAACATAAACAAATGCCATGAATATGAATTGGGTAACCCTCTTTTAACTTTAGTCCATCTCCAGATAATGGCTGTCTGTCTCAGGGGTACATAAAATCTTTTACAATTTTGACCGCAGAGAGCAGTAACAGTAAACGTACTCTATATACGATGCTTCTATTGATACAGCCTAAGGATGCTTTCACTTTTTTAGTAGTGACATCACATTCTTGGCACACATGAAGCTCCTGGTCAGCTAAAACCCCACAATCTTATGTTGAAATCAAGAAACACTATGTTAATATTATCTACGATACTAGCAGTGCTATCCAAAATGGATGTTAGTTTTAGTTTGCTATGTTATTCTTTGTGGAACTCATGCTAATTTCCAGCATTGCTATTTTCTAAATATTTATAATCATGTTAATTATAAGATTATAGTAATTAATATAATTATATTATAACTAATAATATAATTATAATATGTAATTGGTATATTTGTAATTATATTAACTATTTGTTATAGAACTTTTCTGGTAAGCAAGTCAAATTTAATAGTTATTAGTAGTGGAAATACACCCTTTACCTTTTTGAAAATTGAGATGCCAATCTCTGGCCTTTGGTTGCCATTCTTGTGCCCAAATAATTTTCATCCAATAATTAACGGCAACAACCCTAAATTATTTTAGAACTATGAACTTTTATTATTTTAGTCTGGGAGATTAACAAACTTTGATGTGTCCACAAGCTATCAGTTTATTTCTTCATTTATTTAGGGCCTCAGATCTTTTAACCTTGTTTGTTAATCTCTTCCCAACTGGAAGACCATTTTCAATGATGAATAAGAAACAAATAGAATGGAAGTTGGGATTCATCATCTTCTCTCTGTTAGGTTATTAAACAAGATAAAATATGTTAATGCACTTTTGAAATGGTAAACTGTTTTATAAATGTGAGCACACAATTATTTCAATTATTGCTGTTATATTATTGTAGATGCAATAATTTTTCTAAGAAGTGGACTCTCCATTTTCCTCAAACCTCATAACTTTGAGCACAGTTGAAAAGCTGCTTTGATATTCTTTAAGTGGCTTTCACAAGCCTCAGATCACCTGGGCTTTATAGTTCCTTGAAACGATCCTGAAAACTTTATATGACTATTTTATATTGGTCTGTGTTTTGGTGTCTCTATTATCTTTAAAACATCAGAGCTACATCTAACGCTCCTTATGAAACATATAATTTAATCTTAATCTTCCCACCTCCCCACCCCAGCACAAACATCACCTCCACTCCTTCTTTGGGTTTGCTGGCAATGAGATTTTTTTCTTAGATATTTTTATTTCTCTCAATCCATATTCTAAGCATAGGATCGTAAGTATATGTTTTTTCCTTTCCTTTTCTTTGAATATCTGAACTCTATTGATATCTCTAGAAGAGTAGAGAACCATACAAATTTATAGACAGAGGGGTCTTCAGTGATTATTTTACTAACTCTCTCATTTTATAGTGATGGAACTGAGAGCCAGACAGATTCATATTTAGTTAAGTTCACACAACCAGTTTGTGCATCTTGGCCCAGGGTTTTGCTGGTTCGGATCCTGGGTGCGGACGTGGCACCGCTCATCAGGCCACGTTGAGCCGGCGTCCCACATGCCTCAACTAGAAGGACCCACAACTAAAATACACAACTATGTACTGGGGGGATTTGGGGAGAAAAAGCAGAAAAAAAAAGAAGATTGGCAACAGTTGTTAGCTCAGGTGCCAATCTTTAAAACAAAAAAAAGAAGATTGGCAACAGTTGTTAGCTCAGGTGCCAATCTTTAAAAAAACAAATTTATGTGAAAGAGAAAAAGGTGAAAAAACAAGGTGATTCTGAGAAAGTGAGAAAGATTTATCCTATCAGATATGAAAGAATATTATAATGCTATAGTAATTAAAATAATGTGGTGTTAGCATAGGTATAGACATATAGACCAGTGGAACAGCATAGTAATCTCAGAAATAGATTCGTGAACATATGGAACTTGATATGTGGCAGAGGTGGCAATGCAGATCAATGGGGAAACGACGGACCACCCAATCGATATAATTGATATCCAACTGATATTCCATTTAGAAAAAAATGAATTGGGATTTCCAATTTAATATGCTCAATATCAATTTTAGGTGAATTGAAATCTTAACAATATAAGAAAAACTTTAAATCTTTTAGAAAAAAATAACAGGATATTATCTTTTACGACCTTGGGCTAAGGATTTTTTTTTAAGTCAGAGAAATCAAGGACAATACATAAAAGCAAAGATGGACACCTTCAGCTACATTAAAACAACAACAAAATCTTTGGTTCATCAAAAGACACAATATTAAGAGGTGAAAAAAATAAGTCACAAATCAGGAGAAAACTGTAACATATATAATAGACAAAGGGTTAGAATCCAAATTACATAACGAATGCCTAGAGATCAAATAAGACAAATAACCCAAACAAAAAATTGGCAAAAGACACGAACAGGAATTACACAGAAAAGAAAATATGGAATATAAAAACACACAAACATGCTAAACCTTATAATTAGACTAATCAAAACTCTCATTTCACAGCCACTAGATTGGACCACATTAAACCTTCTGACCAATGTTGGCAAGGACGTGGAGGAACGGGGACTCTCCTACGCAGCTGGTGGGAGTGCAAAGTGATATAACCACTTTGGAGAATAACAAGGCAGTATTTAGTAAAAGAGCAGATGCATTACTCTTTCACATCACAGTTCCACAACTCGGTACGAGAGGACATGCACAAGAATCCCCACAGCTACAATGTTTCTAATAGCAAAATACTAGACAATCTAAATGCCCATCAAGAAGATACAGGATAAACTGTGGTATACACAGCGAGCAATACAGCAGTGAAAAAAATGTTCAAAACTACACATATATTATTGAACCATATGAATTTGCCTAAATCCTTTCATTTTTGACTTGCAAAATTGAAATTTCATACAGTTCAAATTGATAACAGATAAATCTCATACAATACTGAATGAAAAAGGTGAGTTGTATAAGTTTAAATGTACTAAGAAAAGTTTTCTAGGGGCCAGCCCAGTGGTGTGGTGGTGAAGTTCATGCCCTTCGTCTTGGCAGCCCAGTGTTTGCAGGTTCAGATCCTGGGCATGGACCTACACATCGTTCATCAAGCCATGCTGTGGTGGTGTCCCACATACTAAAAATAGATGAAGATTGGCACAGATGTTAGCTCAGTGACAATCTTTCTCAAGCAAAAAGAGGAAGACTGGTGATAGATGTTAGCCCAGGGCCAATCTTCCTCATCCAAAAAAAAAAAAAAAAAAAGAAGAAAGAAAGAAAAGAAAACCTTTCTATAAACTAAAAAACATGCAAAGCTAAATGCCATATTGTTTAGGTTTACATATTTATGGAGTAAAAATATAAAGAAAAACAGGAAATGATAAATACAAAAGTCAGTATGATAGTTAGCACTGGAGGTTGGAAGGTGATATGATCAGGAAGGGGCACATGAAGGCTTTAAAAGACTGGCAACATTTTATTTCTTAAGCTGAGTAGTGAGTACCTGGGTGTTTATTTCATTGTTATTTATATTATTTACTCATGTGTGTATGTGAAATATTTTATACAAATGAAAAATTAAGAGTGAATGTTTTTAAACATTAAATTATTTTCTCTCATAGGTTTGGAAAGATGCTGCCACTCAGATATTTTACTCCCTTTCCGTGGCTTGGGGTGGCTTAGTTGCTCTATCATCTTATAATAAGTTCAACAACAACTGCTTCTCAGATGCCATTGTAGTTTGTTTGACAAACTGCCTCACCAGTGTGTTTGCTGGATTCGCTATTTTTTCTATATTGGGACACATGGCTCATATATCTGGAAAAGAAGTCTCTCAAGTTGTAAAATCAGGTATGTAATGCTATATATTAACTTTGATTAATTCAATGTAGCTCATTTAAGAAACACTAATATATTTTATAGCAATTTACTTAAAGCACTCAAGATTTAGGGTATTGCATTTTCTTTTTCATTTCATCTTATATAATTTGGTTGTTTTAATGATGTAATAATTCGTAGATGATCTGAGAAAACAAGACTATATTAGGGAACAATTGTTTAAAAATAATTTTTTTCTGAATTTTGTTTAGTCCTTAATATGAACTACTTACTGCACAATTACAAGTATCAGGCATCATGCTAAGTACTTTACGTGCATTATCTTAATTTAATTTGTGTATGACACACACACACACATATGCACACACACGTATATAGCCAGCCCTGTGGTCTAGTAGTTAAGATTCGGCGCTCTCACCATCTTGGCCCGAGTTCTTTTTCTGGTCAGGGAACCACACTAGTCATCTGTTGGTTGTCATACTGTGGTGGCTGCGTGTTGCTGGAATGCTGAAAGCTATGCCATTGGTATTTCAAATACCAGCAGGGTCACCCATGGTGGACAGGTTTCAGCAGAGCTGCCAGAATACGACAGACTAGGAAGAAGGACCTGGCCACCCGCTTCCCCAAAAATTGGCCATGAAAACCCTAAGAACAGCAGTGGAGCACTGTCTGATACAGGGCCAGAAGGGGAGAGGATAGTGCAAAAAGATCAGGCAGGGTCTGTTTTGCTGTCCACAGGGTCACCAGGAGTCAGAATTGACTAGACGACACTAACAACAACAACAAAACACACAAACACATATATATACATGTGAATATTCATATATATATCAACATATGAGAGACTATATACATATATATAAATTCTTCTATATACAATCACAGTATTAGGTCTGAATTTTTAAAATTCAGTATCATATCAATACTGAATCAATCAAAAAAATCAATATCATATAAATAGAAACTCAAATCACTTAGTCACATTTGTGTGACTTTGTGTGACTCAAATGACTTTTGTGACACATTTGAATGTACAGCTGTGTCTAGTTTTAAAGGAATCTGATTAAAGAACTTCCTAACTTTAAAGACATTAGCTCGGGATGCTTAATTATCTGACTAAAGAGTCTTAGGAAAAGAATTCTAGGCCCCTTTCAAGTAGGAATTCCTCATTAAATTTTTATTTATGGTTAGTATCATTTGATGGACAGACTGATGAATGAGAATAGAATGTTAGGACTAGAAGGGACCTCGGAGATCATCTAGTGTCCGGCTTCTCATTTACAGAGGAGTAGATGGAGGCACTGAAGTGTTATGTCTCGCAGAAGATCAAATAATTAGGAAGTGACGGAGCCTAGGCTAGAAGCTAATTCTCCTGAATCTTAGGTTAGTCATCTGGGAGGTTGGAGAAACTTAAAATATATAAAACTAAGTATCACATAATACAGTTGAAATTTTTTAAAAAATGTATCTCTAAAGGTAACATATATCAAATAGAAAATAAGATTCCATTTGTAGTTTCATTACATACAATTTTGTAGGTATCTATATACTAATTAAAATGGCATTACATATAGTGATTCTGGGTAAACATTTGGAGACAGAGTTGAATTCTAAAAAGTTAGTTCTATGAACGTATCTTTCTTGATAGCGTAATTCTTTTAGAATTTCTAGGCTAAGACAAGGTGACCTAATTTAGGTTTCTGGAGTTTAAGACAGTTGTTATTCCTCATTAATTACAAAAAAAATGAAACCAGTTAAACAAAATCATTGAAATAGTTAAGATTTCTTATGTGAAAAATGTACCATTCACAAAATTTATCTCACTAGCTTAATTCATGTCACATATTCACATCGTAGAAGAACTAAGTTAAATATTTTTTAAAGTGAAAGTGAAATAGTTGCTAAAGATTCTATATAATGGATTAAGTTCCCAAATTAAAATGCGATTTTTCTAGTATCTTATTTTGAAAATGTCCAAATATGTGAATTTTCTTGGCAATTAATTTAAATTAAAATACCATACATTTTTCGTAGGTTTTGATTTGGCATTCATTGCTTATCCAGAAGCTCTAGCCCAACTCCCAGGTGGGCCATTTTGGTCCATCTTATTTTTCTTCATGCTTTTGACTTTGGGTCTCGACTCTCAGTTTGCTTCCATCGGTAAGTAACACTTCCAGTGTTAGTACGCCCCTCTTACATTTCACTCATATTTCCTCTATTTAAAAGCATCCTTTTCTTACTCTTGTTGCCCCCTCTAGCTTTTACTCTCAGAATGGTCTTTCTGAAAATTTTTAAGTTTTAAATATGGAAAAATACAAAGTTCTCATGTACCAGACACCCAAAAGGAACAAATATTAAAATTTCATCATATTTGCCTTAGATACTTTTTAGAAAAATAAACTGTTACGGATGAACAGTTGAAGTCCCCTATGGTTCTCTCCCTGATGCAATTCACATTTCTTCCTTCCTAGAAGCAACCGTCACCATGGATTATGTATGTTATTCAGTCCATGTTTGTATACATTTTATACGTATCCATAAATATAACTTTTTAAAATTTCACATAAATGTGAAGTTTCATGGCATACATATCATTCTGACAGTTGTTTTTTTACATGTATTATGAATCTATGTTGACACATGGGCATATAGATCTAGTTAATTCACAATCTGTTGCTATAATGATGGGCATTTGGATTATTTCCAATTTTTTTTATTACACATACTACTGCAATGACTATTCTTGTGCATGGCTCTAAGTACACATAGGGATTTCCCCTAGGGTACACACCTAGAAACTCTGGAACAGTTTGCATCATCTCTCTCTCTCACATAAAACATTTTAATTGTTTAGTGTTTACAGGGTAAAGTCCAGCCTCCTCTAGCTGACTTTCAAAGCTCTCAAAAGTTCCAAACATGTTTCTTAATCCTTTGACTTACACATCCTTCTGCTTTTAGCCATTACCCTGTTTCATGAACACATTTATTTCTTAAACCTAGGAGGTCTTTCTATCTCTATGCCATTTATTCAAATATTCACCTTATTTAAAAGTTCCACTAGAATTCTTCCCTTCTTATGACCCTCTTTCAAACTACTTCAGCCCTCAGGGAATCTGTTACCTTATAGTTGCTAACAATGAAAAACTTTACAAAACAGACTAAAAACAACAAATAAAGAAACATTTGACTTTTATCAGAACTGACAAGATGTGACTGCCAAGAGAAAGGACCCTATGGATTTTTAAAAGCAAGGAATAGGGCCCAGAGTATATCCTCAACTTATATTTGTAAATTTGATTAATAGAAGTTGAATGAATTCTGTAATTAAACTGATTGGCAAATAAATTGACATATGTCATCTTTTTCCCCTTCTGAAGAGACGATTACAACAACGATTCAAGATTTATTTCCCAAAGTGATGAAGAAGATGAGGGTTCCCATAACTCTGGGTTGCTGCTTGGTTTTGTTTCTTCTTGGCCTCGTCTGTGTGACTCAGGTATAATATAGTATTTTTTCATATACAAAATATTAGTTGAAACGTACTTTAGAATTTAAATAAGGAAACCAAAGTTTAAGAAGCTGTTTAGTGACAAGTCCAAGTCTGAATTGGATCAAGGTTTTCTGAGTTTCAGCCCAAATTGCTTTCTCATTATAGCACAATTTTGATAGTAAGTATATTTTGCAGAGGGGAAGGAGGACAAATAATGGACAATTTCAGCAGTTACAATAAAGTTAGAGATGTTTTAAAAAATTATTTATTTTTTCCTTTTTCTCCCAAAGCCCACCGGTACGTAGCTGTGCATTTTTAGCTGTGGGTCCTTCCAGTTGTGGCATGTGGGACGCCGCCTCAGCATGGCCTGATGAGTGGTGCCATGTCCGTGCTTAGGATTTGAACCCGAGAAACCCTGGGCCACTGAAGCTGAGCGCTCGAACTTAACCACTCGGCCGCGGGGCTGGCTCAAAGTTCTAGATTTTAAACATACACTATATGTTTCTTGGCAGTTATGACAGAACACACAAACACTGCATACAATTTTGATAATCAGCCATTCTAAATGCTTATTCTTTTTGCAGTGACATAGAATAGAATGAAAGGTAACTGCATCCTTTCTGAGATATTTAAAGCCACATTTGTGTTTACATTTGAAAACATTCCTTTTCACATTTTCGCAGAGGTGAAACCAGGGAGCATATGTTAAAATCAAATTAACAGATTCGATTTGAACCCTTTATCAATCATAAAAACAATTAAAAATTTACTTAGAAGTAATTGATTTTTTTTGGCAGGCTGGAATTTACTGGGTTCATCTGATTGACCACTTCTGTGCTGGATGGGGCATTTTGATTGCAGCTATACTGGAAATAGTAGGAATCGTCTGGATTTATGGTAAATAGTGACTACAGAATTATCTACACATTTTATTAAAGTAACTTAGTTTGATTCCTTTTCATTATGGTTACTAAAATAGTAAAGTATAATGTAACTGGGTAAAATTATATTATGAATAAAATGTAGCTAAAGATATATGCCTCATTGCTGTAGCCTAAGAAAATGATTAGACATAGAAAGATAATTTGGGGCCAGAATGATTAACGGAGGAAAATATGAGCAAGGGCTGAGTGCACTCTTTGTTGCTGTTTTTTTTAGGTGGGAACAGATTCATTGAAGATATAGAAATGATGATTGGAGCAAAAAGGTGGATATTCTGGCTATGGTGGAGAACTTGCTGGTTTGTCATTACACCTATCCTTTTGATTGTAAGTATTAATATTGCCATGAACTTGGTATCAATAATATATATATTTAAACATTTCTAAGATGAACTTGAAGAATAAGTCACACTGGAGACAATAAACAGACTAATATCACAAATGAATGATTTTCAACTTTTGCTTTATGACTGGCGCCTCCTAGTTGCCTAAATTAAAATGCTTTCGCAGTGTTATTTTTGAGGCCATAGGTTTAAACATGTATCATTTGAGAAAATAAAGACTCCTATAGACTTAAAAGATATCTAGAGTTAAAAATTATCAAAGAATAAAAATAAATCATTCATTTGCTTATTCCCTACAAAATATGCTGGGCCATCTACAACGTTGTTAACTCTCTGCTAGGTACAGAAAATACAAAGGTACATAAGACTCAGACTCTTCCTTCAAAGAATTCATTCTAAATATACTAATTGCTAAGAAACAACACTCAGATTTTAAGCGTACTGTTTCTCTTTATGGGAAGTACTTAGTAATAGAAATTACTAAAAGAAACTCACCTGTGTCAATAGAGGCACTAGTGAATGTTAAATTCAGCAATTGGTGCTATTTGGAGCTGAGGGAAAGCAAAAGATGTCTTACTGGAGACGCGTGACATACAGACATGATATCTTTAAAATACAGTTCAGGACAGTAAATGGCTGAATCCCCAAATAAACACTTAATGGGATGGAGAATTCCTATTGACTAGAGATGATGGTGGGAGTGGGGCGGTGGCAAAGCTTCACAGAGGATGCCTTTTGGTTTTCACTGCCTCCATGATTTCAAGGTTTTCCTAGAGAAGGCCATTAAGTAATTTGATCTAGAATTTGCTTCACATTTGAGGTATCATGTTTGTTGGTTTTTAGAGGCTGTTAGGTTTATTTTTCAGCAGTAAAAGGTCAGTTTCAAGTAGTGAGCAGTTTGAGAGTGGATGCGCTGAATTAAAATACTTGGATGCTCCATACTCTTGCTAAATGACTTTGACAGTGTTACTAAATATTGTTTTCCTCATTTGACAGGTCTCTGTAATAAAATAAGCCCCTTATCAACTTATAACATGTAACTAGAGTTTTTAGCTAGCTAGTTTTCATTAAATGCATAGGTCGCACAACTGGACTTACTTTAAAATGCAAAGGTATTAAACATTACATGATACACATTATCATCTATTTTGTATAAAGTCATGTATATTAGACTCCACTATCCCTTATCCATTCTCTGTAGATATGTAAAATTATAGTAATTGTGAAATACATTTAAACTACTATAATTAAATTTAATTAATGGAATTAATCTATGTAATTCTAAAATTAAGCTTAAATATCTTTCATAAAGATTCTTACATTCTATATTCTCATTGATTTTAGTACAACAAGGCTAAATCTAGAGGAACTACTAGGTGATTTTTGGTTCTTGTTTGTTTTGTTTGCTTTACAGATTTCGAAATAATTAGTTTTAATGCTGTAATGTGTCTAGTCAGCTTCTTAAAAACATTTTTTTTTTTAAACTTGGCCTTAAAGTGTTTTCATCTTTAAGATTCAGATTTCACTGTTTTACCCAAACATGCATTGCGCTTATTTTTTTCCTCAATAAGAGGCTGGAAGTGAAGTGTGCTTTGGTAAATATGTATCAGTAGTGCGTGTGAATGCACGAGTGTTTTGGGTGTGGGGCAAGGGGTGCTCCATACAGTGGGAAATAATAAAAACAATTGCTAGGCAAGGAGCCGAGCATGTTCACTAAAGTGTACTTTACACTCTCATTGAATGAATTGATTCGCTGGCTGATTTCCGGCATAGAATAAAACCACGCTATTATAAATGAAAGTTAAAAGTTCAATAACAAAACATTTCAGATATTATTTTACTTTCAATCTGATATATTTTATGGTAAAGTATTTCATTGAAATACATATTGGAAAAGTATTTGTATCTTTTATAAATATATGGAGGTGCTAATTTTGGAAGAATCTATTCAAAGCCAAATACAAGTTATTTAGATTGGTTCATTTAGTGCTGTTACCTTCTGGCTAGTTACCTGACTATGTTAATTGTCTGAATGTATTTTCATTTTAATTGCTTTTGATAAGTTATTTGTAAGGAATGGAATCGACTTGGTAATAATTAGTGCAATTGAAATCATTAGCGCAATAAAGCCTAAACTTTAGCGTTCTCGTTTCCTATCTTACCTTCACAGGCAATTTTGGTCTGGTCTCTGGTGAAATTTCATAGACCTGATTATGCCAAAATCCCATACCCTGACTGGGCAGTTGCTCTAGGCTGGTGTATGATTATTTTCTGCATTATCTGGATTCCAATTATGGCTACTGTAAAAATAATTCAAGCTAAAGGAAACATCTTTCAAGTAAGCACATTAAATTAATATTATTTATACTTTATAAAGTATTTGTCAAGATGAAGATTAATTTACTCATATGGTGGTAATATGAGATTACGAACATAAGACCAAATTAATCACTCTTATCTTGTAGGCAACTGCTATACCTGATAGAATCATCTGTTAGTATGTGCATAACATTGTATTATATTCTATATAGATTTGTGCGTCTCCCTGTGCTAGACTATAAGCTCCTTTAAGGAGGTCTTGTCTTGCTTGTTGCTGTATTCTCAGGCCCTGTTAGAGTGCTTAGCACATAAAAGTTATGATAGCTACACTTGTGCTGAGTTGTCCCTGAAGATGACACAAAGCAAACGTCTTTTGCTTATATCTGTAATCTTCACTTCTACAACTTTGTCTAGTTATAGTACATGTCTTAATAGTGTATTTAGACTTGCAAAAGCCTGGTAAATTATCTTGAACCCAGTGTAGACCCTGAGTAATCCATCTTCCGTGGAGGCCTACGGATAGAGAGTTCATTAAGACCCTTCACTAGGACAATGACAAGGTGGGCTCTGGAGACAGATTTTAAACAAATTCCCAAGCCCATTCAAGAATGGCTCTAGATCAATGGTTCAACCCTGGAGCTCCCTTTCTTTGCTCCTTGAAAGCTCCCAGGTATACACTGGTTTAGACCCTTCCCTAACCTTCACCCTAAAGCCAGGACAGAAACGTTTGAAAATTCAGTGAAAGCACATGGAATGACGCTGTTGTTCAACTGGACTCATGTACTTTCTTTTGAAATCATTTACATACTCAGTTATTTTGGTTTTGTAGTTAATACATTTCTATTAATAATTAGTTAAATTTGAGTATCATTTTTTGGTAGACTGTGTATTAAGAATTTAGATAATCGCTTTTTACTTTTTTATGGTTTTTTATTTCATTTTTTAGCAAAATTTTCATTTTAGCAAGGAAACAACATTCTAAAATGAAAATATAGTTTGATGCCTAATTGTTTACAGATTGTAGCACTTTAAGTTCTAAGACAAGCTTTTTTTCTTTTTCACTTTTCAGCGCATTGTAAGCTGCTGCAGACCAGCTTCCAACTGGGGTCCGTATCTAGAACGACATCGTGGGGAGAGATATAAAGACATGGCAGACCCCAAAACAGAGACTGACCATGAAATACCTACTGTTAGTGGCAGCAGTAAACCCGAATGAGATCTAATTTTTAAAAAGATATGGTTGTATAATGTGATCATTTTAGAATAGAGGAAAACTTTATTTATTTGTATGTTAATTGAGTAGAAAAATGTATATACTATGTTCATAATAGTGTAAGTTTTTTTCCCATTTAAGCAGGAATGTAATATAAAAATGTGAATTTACTAATGTTGGCAATGTGATTATTATATCTCTTTTTAGATTATCTGTCTAACACATAAATAGCTGTCTCTATTTCACACTCCATTTTTGTAAATATTACCATATTTTTCTAATATATTTAAGACTTTATTTTGAGCTGGTTATTTAGAAAATAGTTATGTTTTCTATTATACAAGTTTTAAAATACTATTTGCTTATATTTTCTTAGTGCATAATCTTTTTCATAAAGCTAGGGAAAATAAATCAGTGTATTTAAAAGAAAGCATTAACACTGAAGGTTTCATTTAGTTAGAAATGCCATATATATGGAGAAAATGGACTGTGCATATAATACAACTATAATTTAATACTTTAGATCCAAATATGTCTAAAAACTTCACGCATTTATGACTTTTTCTATGTGGACTTAGTGGTCATGTTCTTAATTTACAAATCATGAAATAAGACAGAAAAATAAGGATTCTATGACTAGTAATTAGTAAGGATCCTTTGGCCAGTAAGTGATAAACCTAGGAAACAGAATTCAGAAGCTTTGAGTACTACTTCTTTGCCCATATAATGTCTTCCTGAGGTTGTATTTGGAAGAAAAATATGACCCATCTAATTTCTATTATGTATCACAAAATTAGGAGGAGTTCATTATACCCTCTGAAATCTAGGTTTAATTTCAAATAGAACACGGAACAAAATACTGAGGAAATGGCTTCAATCAAATCTAAGATTTTATGATTGTGATATACAGTTAATAGATCAAGTAAAATAACTGTCTTATTTAAATAAGTTACTACCTACAGGTGATAACTTATTTACATACTTATAGGAGATAAACTTGTCAAGAATAAGGTAGCCAAATTAGAACATCCTATGTCCCAGTTTCCTTAAAAAATATAATGAAAACATATTATATCACCACTACGTTTATACATTGATTATATATTATTGACAATTGGTTGAAATGGCCCAGGATGATGAACATTGCCTAAAGATGTAAGAAGCTTTTCAGCTATTCTCAAGGTTCTTAACCTGGGCTTCAGAGAATGTATGAAACTGAATTTCCATGTAATATTTTTCTATGTGTATGTGTACAGGCATTTTTCTAAGGAGAGAGTCCATAGTTTTCATCAGAATATCAAAGGGATCTGTGACTCAGAAAAGTTTAAGAACCACATACACTACTGCTGGCTTTTAGTTCTTGGTGAGTGAGGAATACAAGGAGTCATCTTAAGCCTTAATGTCTTAGACATTTTAAATTCATTTTCCTCTTCCTTTTGATCAAAGAGTAAAGAAGTAAGAGGTTAAGGTATTCCTTTAATTTATCCTGGTAATTTACTTTGGGGACATGAAGGTAGATAAACAGGTAGGCCTGTAAGTGAACAATCTCAGTGAGTTATATGCATATATATAAGATGAACTCGTGTTAGATATCTTGAGGGTTTTCTTTGAGGGTAGGTCAAATGCTGTTAGTGAATTTCAACAGATTGGTAATTCCTGTTATACTGTATTTTGTAAAATATTATTTGAAATAGATGGCTGATGAGAACTTAGAAATACATTTTAATTTTAATCCATATTACATGTATTCTACCATTATATTTTGGTGCTGTTTGAGGTACAGATTTTTCAACAAATAGACAAATGCATGCAATTTTCTATAGGTGACTCTGGCAATTCAGGGAAGATTTAGGCACATTTCTAATAAAATAATATCTAGTTGTTGGTGGTGGGGGGTGATGGGAAGAAATATCCTTCAAGAGCTGACCACAAAGAGTAGTTAAGAGTTTGTGTGACTATCTTCACAAGTATTTGTAAAGCACAGATCTTAACAGTGTGCCTGGTATATTTTAGGGTGCTCCATGATAACTGTTATTATTAGTACAGAGATTCAACAATGGTAAGAAAGAGTATTCTGCATAATGGAAAAAGTCTCATCAAATCCCATTGACTTTAATGCAAACTTGGAGACATTTGCAGTATTGCTCTGTAAACCACTAGAGAAAACTGTTTTTTCACACTTAAGTGAAATCAAAACACTGTATCTCAACTGTATTATTTTTACTGTAGCTTATTTTTTTAAAAGAAACTTTTCCCCCCCATTGTACTTTTATTCCTTCCCCAATAAACTATATTTTAGCAACATGTAATCAGTTCCTTAAATGAGTAAGTTGATAAATGTCTGGATTTTGTACCTGACTTGGCATTCCCTCCTCTTTTAAACACTAATTCATTTGGTATAAACATGTATAAGCAAATGAATCCACTCCAAATATCTTTAATGATTGCTTCTAGGGGCATTACATTCTGTAAGCGTGTCAGTAGATTTCCAGTTAACTATTTGAACCCCTGGTAACTAGTAAACGTTCCAACGTTCCAGCTTGTATTCCACCGTCCTGAGGTTTACCAATATTTGCTTCTGCATGGCTATCGAATGCGGGAAATTAATTAAGATATCCCGAGAGAGGCTGTTGACGCTGAGAATCTCAGTATTCCTGTTGGTTGACCCAGTAGAAGAGTACAGTCTTACTAGTGCAAGAGAAGTGGAACTTGATGACATTTCAGCAGTGTTTCGCTGTAAGGGAAGGAAATTATACATATGTAGTTTATTGAGTTTAGCAATTTCCAAATACTACCAGATAACACGCTTAGTCTTGTTTACCAAAATGAACTGAGTGTCCTGCCCTAGCAATTAGAGATGAAAAATCTGTTGAATGACTACACTGATTTGGAAACACGCTCTTCCCAAACACAGACAGAAAAAAATATATGAAAGTAGCCTTTTAATGGCAAAATGTCCTATTCTTGGCTTACATTTCTTAGGCAGTCTACTAAGTCCACCGCTGAAGCCAGCCTGACCCTTATCTAAAAGCACATTACTTGCGATTTTAAATATCACCAGGAAACCCACATTTTGACCTGAATTCTTTGTGAATGCCCAAAAAACTCTCATAAAGATGGCTGAAAAGTAAAATACAGGGGAGAGAGAGGCAAACAGAAATAGAGCAGACAGTAGGGCGAGAGAAGGTACAGACTCTTAAAATGGGAGGTGGTGGTGGGGAGTGGGCACTTTCAGCCATACTTTACAAATGGGTGAAAAACTCACCGTGCCACTTAGCGACTGGGGGTTTTTTACAACAGACCACAGCCATCGAATCACTGGTCAATATGAAGTGTGGGGGTAAAAGAGTAAACATCTGAAGCTCTTTCAAGAGAAAAAGAGGACCTCCGTTTACCTTTATTATTTTACTGTCTTTCTACTCTCTTAGACACAAACACTCCAGTCCATATATTCATCTAGCTTTGTCTAATTCTAATCTCTCTTATACACTTTACCTGAAGCTGATTTTTCCAGCAGACAAACATAAACGCGAACAAAACGCCGCTCACTAGCAGAAATAGGACGCTCATGGTTCCTTTTCGGCCTCTTCTCGGGCACTGAGGCACTAGGCTGGCAGTTGGGGAGCCCGGGGACCTCTAGCTGCCCGGACTTGACAAGCCGCGGGCCAGGACGCTAAACATGCTGCACTGCCCGGTGCAACTGGCAAGTGCTTCAGCCTCCAGCAAACTATTCTGGAGAGGGCACGTGACCTCACAATTGAGCACACAAGTGGCGGCGCTACGTCACAATCTGCTGAAGAAAAACCGGCCTGCGGGAAACCCGGCGGCACTTACATCACCGCCCACCTGGCTGCTGTGTCGGGTAGAGAGAGAAGGAAGAGGCAATGGGCGAATTTGGATTTCCAGGAAGCCAACATGTGGTAGAAGTACAGACGACAAATTGACTAGTTAAATACAAGTTTTTCAAAGTGCTTCTGCCTCCTCTTTTTAAAGCTGTGTTTTATATTTGTTGCAACCACTCCATTATCCATTTCAAAAATAAGTTCAAAAACAAGATAGAAATGCACTGTGAAAAGTAGTTACCAAAAATTGCACGACTTTGCCAGAAACCTCCTCCTTTCTCACATTCCTATTTTAGGATTCACTCCAACCCTATTCGCATTGGGATAATTATGCATGTTTGCTTCATTGCACAGTTTAAAAAGTAATTCCAGGGACATTTTCCCATATAATTCTCACAATAATTTTGTGCTATAGGTATTTTTAATACTGTGTCTACTTTTGGAAATGCAGAAACAGATTCAGGTGTTAAGTAAACTAATTTCAAACTAGTAGCGAAAGCAGGACTTGAATCCACAGAGTTTGAGTCCTGAGAAAAACTCCCCCATTCTCTCACCTTCACCCCCATCCCTGGGATTTCTACCTCCACTCGCTGACTTGTGAGCATCAAGTATTTAATATTTTCCACCTAAGGAATTGAACACTATAATTGTATTAATGAAAGCTAACAGATATAAGAATCATTGTACTGGACAATCTAGAAATGTTCAAGGAATTCAGGTAAATGTACAGGATGACACCGAACTAGTAATAATAGCCCAGGGAATCTCAAGATGAGTGTCCAAACTGCTACTCACTCACTCTGCTCAGGTAATAACTCTTATTTTCATAGAGATGGGAAGGAGAGGAATTACATTTATGAATCTTTCACATCAAACTTATTTCCCAATTATGAGTTCAAAGCTTAAAGGTTTATTTATTCAACAAGTATTTATGAAACACCCATGGAAAGGGTGGGCACTGTGATGTATTCTGGGAATATGATTATGAGCAAAAGTAAAGTCTCTGCTCATCTGAAATGTGCACTTTAGTGTGGGGGACGGACATTAATCAAATACCCACAGAAAGGAATGTAAAAATGCTATAATAGGACATGGGATGTCAAGAAAAGTGAAACTCCTGGCTTTGTGGCTTACTCAGTGGGATGGATGGGAAATAACCAATTATGGGATTCCTGATCATGAATTTGGTGTTGGACATGTCGAGTTTGTGGTGACTTGGGACATAAATTGATCCCAGGGAGATAATTGAAGACATAAAATTGTGAGGCATCTGCGTATAAATAATTGAAGCACTAGACATGGAAGAAATTCCCTCATGTCAGTGTAGAGTGTACAAACAGAAATACAAGTTAGAATAGAGCATTGAAGGATTTCAATATTTAATGGCTGGGTAATAACTCTTACTTTGGTATTTTATTGTGGTTATCTTGACATCTAAATTTCTTGTTTCATCAAGTAAAATTGAGTGAAGCCCTGTAACACCGTCTTTAACAATGGAATTTTGAATTTTGATCCTACTAGTATCCAAAGGAACACTTCAAAGATCTTGGAAAATATTCTCATCAAGAACATTCTCATCAATCACATCAGAGTACTCTTGCTAACCATTGATTTTTTTTTCATTTTTTTATTGTGGTAAACTATACAAAACATAGGGTTTAACATTTTAACCAATTTTAAGTGTACACTTCTGTGGCAGTAAGTACATTCACGTTGCTGTGCAACCATCACCACCATCCATCTCCAAAACTTTTTCGTCTTCCCCAACCAAAAATGTCATTAAACACTAACTTCCATTCTCTCCTCCACCCAGCCCCTGGAAGCCACCATTCTACTTTCTGTCTCTACAAATTTGACTACACTAAGTACCTCATTTAGGTGGAGTTATACAATACTTGTCATGTTGTGACTGGCTTATTTCACTTAGCAGAATGTCTTCAAGGTTCATCCATGTTTTAGCATGTATCAGAATTTCTTTCCTTTTTAAGGCTGAATAATATTCCATTGTATGTATAGACCACATTTTGTTTACGCATTCATCCATTGATGGACACTTGAGTTGTTGCCACCTTTTGGTTATTGTAAATAATGCTGCTATGAACATGGGTTTTTTGTATATTTTAGATAATAATCCTTTATGAGATATATCTTTTGCAAATATTTTCCCCCCCAGAGCCTCCAGGGCCTCTTCTGATGTCTCCCACAATTTTAAGGGACAGCTCTGGTACTCTGCAGTCACTACCACAGCTTCATATCCAGTTTTTTGGGGAAAAAATCTGCCGTTAAATAAAGCCTTGGATACAGAAAAAAAAAAAAAAATTCCCCCAGTCTGTGGCTTGTCTGTTTATTTTCTTGACAGTGTCTTCCACAAAGCAGAAATTTTTAATTTTAAGGCAGTCCGGCTTATCAATTCTTCCTTTGATGAATAGGACCTTTGGTGTTATATCTAGAACGTCACTGCCAAACCTAAGGTCATCTAGATTTTCTCCTATGTTATCATCTAGGAGTTTTATAGATTTTAATTTTACATTGATAATACATGTGATCTACTTTGAGTTAATTTTTATGAAGTGTGTAAGGTCTTTGTCTAGATTCGTTTTTTTTTTTGCTTGTGGATGTCCAATTGTTTCCAGCATAATTCTCTCCACTGAATTGCCTTTGTTCCTTTGTCAAAGATTTGTTGGCTATATTTATGTGAGTCTAATTATGAGCTCTTCATTCTGTTTCATTGATCTATTTGTCTATTATTTTGCCAATGCCACACTGTCTTGATTACTGTAGCTTTAGATTAAGTCTTAAAGTTGGCTACTGTCAGTCCTCCAACTTTGCTCTTCTCCTTCAATATTGTGTCAGCCATTTTAGGTATGTTGCCTCTCCATATAAACTTAAGAATCAGTTTGTTGATATCCACAAAATAATTTGCTGGGATTTTGATTGAGATTGCGTTGATGCTATAGATCAAGCTAATAAGAACAGGCATCTTGTTTGTATGAGTCTTTCTATCCATGAACGTGGAATATCTCTACATTTGTTTAGTTTTTCCTTTGATTTCTTTTATCAGAGCTTTATAATTTACCTCATATAGATCCTGTACATATTTTGCTAGTTTTGTGCCTAAATATTTCATTTGGGGAGATTTTAATGTAAATGGTATTGTGTTTTTATTTTAAATTCCACTTGTTTTTTGTGGGTATATAGAAAAGTGATTGACTTTTGTATATTAACCTTGTATCCTGCAACCTTGCTGTAATCACTTATTAGTTCCAGGTTTTTTTTTTTTTTTGTCAATTCTTTCAAATTATCTACGAGACATTTTAATTTCTTCCTTCTCAGTCAGTATACCTTTCATTTCCTTTTTTCTCTTCTTGCATTAACTAGAACTTCCAGTATGCTGTCAAAAAGCAGTGGTGAGAGGGGACATCCTTACCTTGTTTCTGATCTTAATGGGAAAGCTTCTGGTTTCTCACCATTAAGTATGATGTCAGCTGCAGGTTTTTTGCAAATATTCTTTATCAATTTGAGAAAGTTTCCCTCTATTTCTCATTTACTGAGTGTTTCTATAATGAATGGTTGTTGGATTTTGTCAAACGCTTTTTATGGATCTATTGATATGATCATGTGATTTTTCTTCTTTAGCATGCTGATTTGATAGATTATATTAATTGATTTTTGAATGCTGAACTCGCCTTTCATACCTGGGATAAATCACATTTGGTTGTGGTGCATAATCCTTTTTATATATTGTTGTATTTGATTTGCTAATATTTTCTGGGGATTTGTGCATCTATGTTCATGAGAAATATTGATGTGTAGTTTTATCTTCTTTGTCTGATTTTGGTATTAGGGTAATACTGGCCTCATAAAATAAGTTAGGAAATATTTCCTCTGCTTC